AAATCCCCCCCCCCCCTCCCCCCATATAGTCCGCCCCTAAAAACGTGCATGAGCTTTATCTGATTTATTGCAGTAAAACCGGAATTGTGCATGTGTAACTTTACAGAGAGTGACTTAAGAATAAAATTATTATATGTATAAAAAATAAGTGCACAGTTATAAAACGTGCACTAAAGTGAAAATTCCGCAAAATATGTGACAACTTTATGTTAGCATGGGTAGTTTGGGGGTCTTCTGGGATTTCTACCAGCAAATTCGCCGGAAAATTACATTTTCGAGTGCGGCAAGGCTGTTTTTCTAAACCACTTTAAACGAGACTGTAAAATGGCTTGCGCAATTTGAATTCATGGGGTGCAAATTTGAAAGCTGTTTTATGAACTATCAATTTGATGTACATCAAGTCCATCAAATTGATAACATCAAAGTTGGACTTTTTGCCATAGTAGCCTTTCACGCATAATTTTTCAAACTCACGACTGATTTTAGGCATGACTGGATTTTATGCATTGTCTGTATAAGGAGAATTTCGACGTTTCGAGCGAAGGCCATGCATTTGTCTGGAGTTACTGAAGACGAATGGCCTTCGCTCCAAACGTCGAAATTCTTATATTTTTAGGTGGTTGCAGCATCCCTACCAAAGAAAACTTGTTATTTATATTGGTACTATACGGTCACACTACCTACACTGGCACAGACAGTTCATAATTGTCTGATAGTCTGATAAATAAATAACGGTTTAATTAAACCTTCCATTTTTGTGAGTAAGCCATTTTTAAAGCGGTTTTAAAAAACAGCCCTGCTATAGACTCAAAAATTTACTTTAGAATAATTTGAGATACCAGAAGACGTCATGCTTTCTTGAATGTGACTCGGACTTCTTTTTCAGAGTCGTCTACAGTTACGTCATCGTGTTTTCCAATTACAACCCTGCCACTTTTAAAATTTAAAAAAATTCCGTAATTCTGAAGAGTGGAAAGTCCAATCGCATTCCAGTCGGGATCTTCATCTATATCAAATACTTGGACACCACCTCTGGCAATTGTATCAGATTCGACTTTGCATAAAATTGCTGGTTCAGGTTCGGCGTTAATAGTCCGCGCAACAGTTAATATAAAGTTTTTGATGATCTGATAGTTGTAACCAACAGAGCCGGAATCTGCACCAGTATCAAGTTTAAACGACAAGGGAAATCCCCCTTGTTCTTCACTACGTACGTTATGCAGTGTACCACGCATAGACGGGGTTTCCTTTTGACCAACTTTAGTAGAACAGCTCTCTTTCATTTGCTTTAATGATACAGCTGTACTTTTATCATTGTTTTTAATACAGACAACTGGAAATGGGTCTTTTGATATATCTTCCAATGAATAAGCTGCGCCGTTGGCTTCACGGTTAGAACTACAGTTTAGTACTTTAAAATCGCCTTTCGTGTCGGTGTATACGACAACAACTTTATATTTTAAAGAGGGGCGATTTTCCTGGTAATATTTATGGAGTTTTTCGTACTTCTGAATAGTGATTTTTTTTAAACTCTCAAACGTATAACTCTCCTCGTTACTTTGGGGTGATTCAGTGTGGTCAACATTAATGCCTTCTTTCACTTTCTTATGATAACTGATGTTATTTTCAGAGTCATGTAGGGTTGACTCATCAAGATCTTTGCATTCTTGCGAAGTTGTTGAGGCAGATTCACTCTCAGAGTTGTCGGAGCTAGGAACCACAGAATCATCATATAGGACTGATTCATCAACATCGTTATATGCTTGGGAGGTTGTTGCGCTTTCTTTCTCAGAGTAAAAAATATGAGTAAAATCGTAAGAACCATCCCCGACAGTTTGGTCAACATTAATGGCTTCTTTCACTTTCTTCTTATGATAACTGATGTTATTTTCAGAGTCATGTAGGGTTGACTCATCAAGATCTTTGCATTCTTGCGGAGTTGTTGAGCCTGGAACCACAGAATCACCACGTGGGGCTGATTCATCAACATCAACATCATTATATGCTTGTGAGGTTGTTGCGTTTTCATTAATCGTGTCTTTAAGCTCTTCAAGATTTTCAAAACATTTTTCTTTTTCTTTATTCAATATTAACTCTGACATATTGCTTTAAGACAAATTGCGTTTTATCGATAATTTTCCCTTGGAGTTCCTAAAACATTAAAATGAGATTGTCAGTAAATGATAATTGACCTCTTTATCAAACCTGATCCACCAGCCTTGGCACAGTGTGGATGAATTTGACATCTGGGCCCAGTTGTATAAAAAGATAGTATTGATGTATTATTTACAACATGAGCGGCTGTGTTGTGTCCTGGCTTGTGAAACGTCTAGATGAGAACATTCGTATTCTTCACCAATTTAAAATAATGATATTTGGTGAGAAAACTGAACAGATATTCAAGCTTTCTTCATGAATTATTAATGAGTTTCACAAATTATTTTAGACTTTACCAGAAAACAAGTGTTTATACAACCGGCCCCTTACCAATAAAAGCATATACTCAAAATGTGACCTTGAAGTCTAAATTTACCCAATTTTACAAGGTTGGAGAAATCATTTTATTGTTTAGTCAATTCAGCATTTAAAACTGCAGAATGCGATCTCCTTTGCCAAAATTTCGCTGGCTGTACAAAGATGACCAAAGATGTTGTACTAAATCGTTTCAGATTATTTGCAAAAATCAATCATAATCATTAGAATGCTCTTATGTCCTATCCTAGTTGGCGTCGTGGATGCTGCCCGTGGTTATTTGTATAATATTTTGTGATCAATGCACACAGTTTTGTTCACAAGTCACAACATTTACCCAGGAGCTGGTTGTTCAAAGTTGGATTAGCCCAATAACACTCGGTTAACATTTAACCTGCTGCTTTAGTTAATATGTAGGCTAATGTAGCACATCTTTTTGTTTTAAAACTTCAGAGAGGAAAACTCGTACAGATCCATACAAGATTTCTGAAAAAAATATTACAAATGTATGAACAAGCTGTTGGGAAGTTTGCTAATTGATTATTTAGGCTAACCTAGGGTTTAATAACTTATTGGGTTTCGAACAACCGGCCCCAGGTTAGGTAATTAATGACTAGAAGCATCCTTGTCACCAAGCTCGCACGAGATTGGACATGGGGACAATGATGGACTAGAAAGCAGTTGGAGACTGCATACCTCCGCCAACAAATTAAGTTATTATTAATAATATATCATGCATAAATGATACAATTTAATGCACTCAGTTTACTCTGCCCTGCAAAGCAAGACAAACCTCACTAAAGCCTTATTAATCTTCACTAAAACCTCTATACTTTGTAGTATTACAATTTACACGATTAGATGCAACTTTTCACAGTCACAGTGCATGCTGACACAACACTAAGGCGAGACTTAATAAACAAATTTGGATGTCAACAATTCACGATTTTAGTTCATTTTAGTTAATTTGGGGTTCTGACAAGAAGTACAACTATTCTTGACATGAAGTATTGCGTGCAATTTTGCGTGCCTGCGTTTACTTGTGTACAGTCTCTTTGGCCGAGTTATGTACAGTCGATCGAGATTTCGATTTGTAGTTGTGTCTTCACTCTACATGGTTGTACTTGTTTTAACTATTAGCGCTAACTGCCAGGCAAACTGCAAACTTCAAGAATCAATATTTTCGAAACAAACACGCTCTTCTTTAGTGGTATTACTTGTACTTAAAATTGCATATTTCCATCGCCCCCAGCGACTTAACGCTCCGTGGAGCGTCTCGCCGAATATAACTTTGGCCCCTTTCAACCTATCTTTTTCGTAATATTCTTGTTCGAATCACAATCCAAAACACTATTTAGAGTGATATTTTCAAGTTTGTATCTGCAGATTTGCAACGGTATTTCAGAATATACGCGAGAGCCTCGACCGGAAATACAGCTTGACATCATATGCTTGACATATTAAAACAATGCAATGTTTACATCCTGGCACTCGGGAAACGTCGGAAATTCTAAAGGTCAAATTACCTTCATGTAGCGTGATTTGCACGTGCATCGGGGCTATGGGTGCTCATTATTGGCCAACTAACAACCCGATATTCTGAAAAATTCAAAATAAATATTTGTAGTCCGCCGTATTCAAACGAAACTTTCTACACGAAAGCACTTGAATACAAGGGGTATTTCACTCCTATTGACATGCATGGTCTGAAGTGTTCAGAAGGTATTCAATTTTTTCTCCATATAAAGTACAGAATGTTTGGCCAAGCGGTAAATAATATACGATTGTTTTGGTTTGTGTAATGTTACGACGACATTTGACCCACCGTTCGAAAGGTTATTTTATGAGGATTTCAACGGTGGTTTTCGTTTTAAAGGGCGGGTAAATACTTGCCGAGATATTTTAATGTTCCCCACTCCAAAGTCGGAAATGTAAATATAAACTGGACGGCATTAACATTCCTTGTTTTTGATCCAGTAGACGCCATGTACGCTACAGCGTACCTATTTTTCATAATACAAACGAGATTTTCAATGTTTAAAAAATTATTACTATTATTAATAATAATTATTATTATTAATACCAAGGATTTAAATATAAATTGGACAGCATGGGCTAATGGTACGACAAGTATCGCACTGTTGCACCCTTGGGGTGCAGAGTAGTGATTTTCTTATGAGCTTTCTAAAATAGACAAATTTGGCCTAACGTTGTTTCCGTCGTTGCTACCCAATTCAGAATTTTAGACAACTCACATGCCTGTATACGATTGTTCTAGTTTACAGAAGCATAGAATAGAACCAAGGAAACGAGGCATTAATTAAACTAACGTATAAGGTTATTCATGCACTCATGTAATGTATACATAATTCTAAAGTTTAGTTACCTTTGTTCTATTCCATGCCTCGGTAAAATAAACCGCACAAAAAGAAAGTCCCCCTAAATATATCATCACAAGTTCTAAATAAATGATTACCTGATAATCAAACCTCAGCATTAATTAGACTTGTGGTAGGTTGCTTAATGCTGTTTGAAGAATGCTTTATTCATGCTTTATAAAGAATAACTTAGCCTCCATGGCCACTGAATACAAAAATACCCAATTTCAAAATTAACAAGAATGACTTTATTGAAATTTCACAACGTACAATAGTAAATTGTTTCATCAATGATTTAATAATGGCTGTAACCACCACACTTCTCAATAACTTCAAGGCATCATCTCCTCAGAAAGAGAATGATGTGACCTGGGACCTCGCCAAGTCTCAACCCAATTGAGATTTTTTGGGACCAGCAAAAGTAATGTCTATCGTCGGTTCGAAGAATACAGCACCCTGGCTGACTTGGCTCAATTGTTGCAGGAGGAATGGATGGCATTCAAAGCATGAATGACCCCATTCACACACAGCATTAAGCAAACTACCGCAGGTTTAATTAGTACTAGGTTTGATTATCAGGTAATCATTTATTTAGAACTTATGATGATATATTTAGGGGGAACTTTCTTTTTGTGTGTTGTTTAGAACAATAGTAAGTAGGCATGTGAGTTACGTAAAGTTGTGAATTGGGTATAAACAAACGTTAGCCAAATTTGTCTATTGGCCGTAAATTGGTCTAATCCAGCTTGAAGTTTGTTATTAAAATTATTTTGATATCTGTTGTGCATGGGTCCATAATCAACATCCGTATAGTTTCGCAGCTATATCCAGAAAGTTTTATCCACGTTGAAGAAATCATGGACTATCTGGTGGATTCTGGCCTTTGTACAATCTTTTTTTAGAAAAAAACTGATGTACTGAGCTTCGACTAGTTTCCAGGCTTCGACCCGTAATATACTAAATATACGTTCACGATTTGCTAAATGTGGCATTCAGTTTTAAAAAGAAAACTGTGCGTACAAAGTTACACTAAAGGGGATATATGCATAAATAACGTTATATAGCACGGCCGAGAATCTCGCGAGCACGAAATTATGAACGTTCTGATTCTCGTTTACACTGATTTCAATTCAGCGAAACAAGAAATCTTAACGGTCAGTGTTCCCGAAATTTCTTCTCCTGAATTTCGACCTTTTCCTTTCAACTTTAGTGACTGTTGAACTGTGCTGTTGTTCACTTCAATTGGAATAACGGCACGACCCATGAAACTGTCCCAAAACACGTTACTGTCATATACCTAAGCAAAATAAGAACGTTTTATGACTGACGTAATACACATTTACTTTGTAAAAATACGCTTTTTCATTTTCGCCCTTCCGTCGACCCGCGAATTTTAGGGCGGGCGAAACGTAGGTCTGTTTTCAGGCTATGGCTTCTAAGGCTACGTTTACACTATACCGGATAGCTTTCCATATAGCGGCGCGAATCCAATCCAATGCGGAATGTTCATGTCGTTACGAAAAGCTATCCGGTACAAGTGTAAACCCAGCCTCAAACTCAAATCATGAGCTGAACACAATGAAAACCAGCACTGTATTATTGTCTGGACACCACGGGAATAAACATCCATAAGTTATGTCAGCTTTCGTGTTCAATTTTACTTTAAATACTGCTCCGTTTGAGATGTTATCCCATAAACTTGAATAACGCCATGTTTTTCAACACACTTTTGGGTATTTCAGATCAATGTAATAAATTCCTTCCGGTGTAGGACATATTACTTCATAAACGCCATTTGTCCAAATGCATTATTAAGATGGTTATTGTGTGTTTTGGCTGTATAGTCCATTCACATGCATGAACAATTGTGGGCCAAGTATGGCCTTGCGTAAAACTCGATCTAAGTAGGCCTAATAAAAATCTGCATCTTTTTCCGAGGAGATGGGTACTGTAAATAATCCAGTAAACGCTCAGGGCTTTTACTAAACGTTCGTATTTTAAGAGGAGGCGTTTATTATAGATGAGAATAGTCTAGATTTCAGTTTTGTGCTTCATGAACAACGTTTTCTACCAGTACCTTCTACAAGCTGTTTGCCAGTCAAAAAGGGACGTTGAATGCAAAATATGATTAGACCAGGGCATCAATTAGATAAGAGGCGTTTATTAGAATGTGGGCGTTTATTAAGTAGTCAGATTATTGTGCTTTATCGCATGTTGGTATTTTTACTCGACAATAACCCTTTTTAATCTGACAGCAATAACTTACATCAATAACAACTTCGCCGTTGATATTTCTGACGTAGAACAATCCTCCTGCGTTAAACTTGGGATTTAGTGTGTCATTTTGCACTGGTGTTGTCACCTTTCTGCCAGCACATTTAATAATACAATACGGATCAGCCCCTGGAGAGAGAAAGGGAAATCGACTGGTTATAATAAGTGTATACAGCTATTTCAATTAAGGTTACAGAACACCTTTGAGTGTTGATTTTGGCTAAAAAAATTTTATTGGTTTCAATGAAAGCATTAGACTGGTTCTACTATCTGACCAAGTTTGAATGAAAAATGTTGAAAACTCGCAGAGTTATTTAATAAAATACATTTCGCTGCAATAAGAAAAACATTGAAAATGTAATATTCAAATTCAATTTTCTCCCGAAGAATTTTACGGCAATTACTGATTTTTAAACGAGTTGTGCTCCTGCGGGTTGTAACGAATTTTTCTCAAATTTTCACAGGACATAGCTAAAGACGTCAGCTTCAAAATGGTGTTCGGCTTTGTTCTAATTTTGGATATTTTAATAATAAGGAGCAATTCACACAAACGACTCAGAAATATATTGCAGTCGTCAAAGAAATCGCCATATCAGCGGAATGATGAAATAAACAAAAATTTCCGAACACAATTTTTTAGAACAACTCTTTTACTGTATAACAATGATATTTTCATCCCCGAGCCGACGGCGCGAAGCGCCGTGCGAGGGTACTAATTCCCCCCCGGCTATTTACACCCGGGGAAACGAAAGCATTAGCGGAGTCTAAAGTTCATCAAATATCGCGGGCGTGGGTCACCAACGTATAGCTCAGTGGTCACCAACGATGGGTGGTCATCCTCACTGATGATCTCAAAAATATGGCGGACTGTCATGAATAGCGGATACTGATTGGTCCAATTTAAAGTTTGCATTATAACGACTGTATCACGACAGCGAAATAGCAAACATTTCTTGATTTGATGATTGATAAATTTCTTGCAAATATATTTCATTTTTACTCGCATTTTTGCAAGATTTTGTAAATTTCAAAAGCTCTCTCAAAATGAAACTGCGAAAGAATCGGCTAAAAGAAGGGAGCCGACGTTAACGAAGGTAAGTTTGTTTTAAATATTGATTTTATAATGGCTTTAAAACCCGACGGCCTTTGCGTATATGAAACAACTAAACAAGACAGCATATAATTTCAGTGTATCTTTAATATTGATTCCCTTTTTTATGATATTGAATTTTTTAAATAAATAAGAAAGCAAAGTTATTTGCAAGCGAGAATTTTAAATCATTTTATTGCAAACTCAAAGTTTATCGATAAAGCCATTTTAAAAGGCAGTTTAGTTTTATATTAAAGAACACTAATTACTTTAAAACGCTTTCCGAAGCGTTTGTGGTTGAATTTTACCTTAAATCGAGGCTTATATTACGTATAATAACATACCTAACATATATATAT